TATGTATATCTATACATTCATATACATATACAAATATATGCACACATATACATACATTACACATATATACATATACACACATGCATATATCCACATGCATACACATCCATATATCCACCAACATACACACATATGTGCTTACACACATGACTGCCCATACATATGTACGTACATACATATACCCACATACCTACATAAACACTTCTACTTATGCACATATATATGCATCTCCACAGAAACATATATGTACATACACATGTACATACTCGCATATACATATGCAATAATATAAATACACCCATATGAATGCATACGCACACACGCACATATACACATATCCACGTATATATTGATTCTCTTTCCTGCACAGACACATGGATTACACACAATTTTTTATGCATCAGCGCACTACTATGTATACACACTCATACTCGTGCACAAACGTTTGAACAGTGTCTGCATGATCACACACACGCACTCCATTATAATGAGCCCATGCATTATAATGTTCATAGAATATAGGCTTAAAGCCTAGGGGCTGGGGAAGGCGGATGGTATGGGAGAGGGGGATTCAGGATGGATTGGGTAAGGATGGGGTTTGGGGTTAGAGGGAGTTAGAAAGGTGATTTTTGTATCTGGCAGTTTTTCGGAGAGGTGTCGCATTCCTTAGCGGTTGCTAAGCCTACCGGCCTGCGCCCTCGGCCGGCCGCGGCCGCGGGTCACGGGGTCAGCGTCTGGCACTCGATTGAGGTGCCATCGCTTGAATTACGCTTTGTTAATGCATAGCTTATCTGGTGGGACTTCTGTCGAATGGCTGATTATATTGGCGCTTTAAGGTAACTATGTTTTGACCTACCTGATTTTGTGATGTACTGTACTTACATACTGGCGGTTTGGTTCTTCCGTAGGGAATCTATTTGAGGGGAAACTGAACTGTAATAACCGTGCGATTTGGCAGTTGCTCGGCGTCCTATCATATATATATATATATATATATATATATATATATATATATATATATATATATATATATATATATATATATATAGTAGATATCATATGTGAATCTTGAGCCAATTTATAGAAATAAAAGATTATAAACGCTTGTTCATACACACGTGAACAAGCGTTTATGCATTTGTGTAATTACGTACGTCCAGATGCACGCGTATATACTTACACTTACACGCACACATCCACGTACACACACACACATGAGCAAGGACACATAAGCATAGATACAAACAAACACACACATCTAGTCGGCTAATTCATGTCTGCACTCAAACCTTTTATGTACGTCACAGACCAGTCCATTAAAAATAGGATAACGGTATATTGGTAACGGCTAGCTGAGTCGGTAGTACTTTCAGTTTAGTTAAAACTGTTGAAAGATATTACGGTAACTGGGGGCCCTGTAATATCAACTGCAGTAAAAGTATGTTTTTTTACAATTGAAGTATAGGCTCATGTATGAAAACATTACATTTCACAAAGTGAGGTCTGTCTAACGAAGGTTTTAGATTTATCCCATTTACAATTTTACCTTGTATTCAAGTTCTACTGGAACATTTAATAAGATATAATAAAATATGCCTCCTTTTATAACTATTCAGAATAAGTCACATCAGCGTAATTAACCGTTTGACCAACTGATAATTTCTGGAACTTTAGAAACTATAAAAACAATTCTAACGACCGAAAATCATTAACGTCATAAGATTATAAAATTATAATATGACTTTTCAATAAAGATATTACCAGACGTTGGGGAGAGAAATATATATTTATTAGTGTCAGTGTAGCAATATATTATTCTAACTACAATTATAGGAAGGGCAAACACATCTGTACACATTCCTGTATTTATAAGGTACATTACAGTGATCATACCTCGCACCGCTGCGTAATACTCTGACACCGCCCTGGGTTTGGCGCACTCTAAAACAAACCGGGACTTTTCTGTGACCAGTCCAGAAGTGTGCACTGTAGACAGCACGGGAACGAGATATTGGTTGAACCACTGCATACACAATATGCTCGTAGGGGTGCTGCGGACCTCCACGTCGCCACGGGCCTTCGTTTCCAGGTCCTTCGGTATGTGCTTGCGGCTGGCGCGCATGAGGCCGATCGCGTTTGTCTGCCGAATCTGCAGCAGGTGGGCGAAGTCCGGCGAAGTGAACTGGTCCCCAATATCTAGCCCATCTCCGAAAGGTTCGCGGCGGACATCAGGTCGATCACGACCTTCGTGGTTGCGGGGAAGTCCCTGCTGGCCTATCCTGTGTATATCCTGCTGTCACCCCATTGCTGACGCATAGTCTATAAGCCTTAATCTCGTGCTGGACAGGCTCCCCCCACAGACAGAAACGTTGTTACACGAGCGCTTCCGGAACCTCAGGAGAAATCTGTCTACAGGCATCTTCTTGGGGGGAGTATAGATCGACGAGAACTGCCGATTGAGTGCATCTATCAGCAGCCTCCACAGGTTGTCGTTAGCAGGATACGTCCCGCTATTGTCTTTGCCCCGTGCAAGAAATGTGTCAGTTGGATGAAACGATCTCTTGACATTATCCTCGGGAACACAAAATGGCTGTGAATGGGGTCCAACGACCATGTCAGATCTCATCATCATCATTACTATTATCATTACTATCATCACTATTTTTATTGTCATTATTATTATTATCATTATAATCATTACCATTATCATCATTGTCATTATTATTATTAGCATTATTATTATCATCACTTAATATTATCATTATCATTGTTGTGACATAAGGGAGTCGCGTTAACATCGAAATGGGGGTGGTAAGGATAATGGGGAAGGAAGAGGGAAATGGGTGTTTTTTGGGTGAGTGGGAGGAAGAGGAGTAGAGGGAACTTGAGGAGGAGGTGGATGGATATCGGTAGATAATTAGAATGTAGAGCGATTAAAGGGATTAAAGGGTGGATCGTTCTTTTGAGTCATGTTTATGAACTTTTGGATGTCTTCAAGAGTTTCTGGAGGGGAGTTGGGTGGGGAGGTCTGAGAAACAAAGGTTTTCTTATGTGGAGGAGAAGAGGGAATAGATGTCCAAGGAGCAGATGGAGAGGTGGGTGTAGGAGAGGATGTGGTAGGAGAAGATGGAGTGAAACGTTCTGATTGTCTGGTGGGACAGGTAGAGTGCGGAGGGGAAGGGGTAGGCACCGGGGAAGTGGTAGAGATTGGAGCATCTGGATTTAGACTGGAAAAGGAATTTGACTTGAGGAGAGATGTAGTAGAAATAGGTTGGTTTGGGCTAGAGAGAAGAGATACTGGAGGAGATGCTGAGACTTCTTGAAAAGGTGAGAGGGGAGCAGAGCGAAGTACAGTTTTTGGAATAGGTAGAGAGAGAAAAACCTCATTGGCGTGCTTCTTGTCTGACCTCATGTAGAGTGAGGCCTAGTTTAAATCTGAGAACTACTACCTCAGATTTGAGCTTGTAGGCAGGGTAGTTCCTATAATGTACATTATGGGAGTCATCATAATTGACACACATGCATGACTGAGCAGAGCAATTTGAACAGTCATGATTAGGTTGGGCACATAGATGGCAGCAGGCTGTGGAGCGAGTGCTTCAGCTGGTAGCCAAAAGGCCAACATTTCTGACATTGACTGGGAAAACGTCAGTATGATAGGGCAGTGCAGGACACTCCACTGATATGAACTTCATGGGGGAGGTCATGCTTACAGAAGCTAATCTTGGCAATATTGGTGGAGCTATAGTGTAACACTGGACTGCCACTGCATCATAGTCAACGAGGCATGCGACAAAGTCATTTTCACAAGCTGACCAGCCTGACAGTCAGTCAGAGAGAGGAAAACAGTTCTGGTACATATATTAAGGGAGGAGTCAGGTTGGGCAGGAATATGTTACCAGTGAAGTCAGTCATGATAAATAATGCAAGAGCCTGGGACTCAGAACAAATGATCAGAACATCTGCAAAAGGAAACTTTCCTACCTGTTTTAAGACATTGTTGGAAGAGAAGGGTATTGTCAGAGAATGGGGCTATTGGGGGAATCACAAAAAATTATCCCACTTGGCTGGGCCAAAAAGGGTACTCAAAAGGTTTATAGAGGTGGAAGCAGTAGGACAAGGGCAGGAGGAAGATGGGGTGTATGGGGAGTGGGAGTACTGTTGGGTAGAGGACAATAGGGATGAAGAGTAGTAATAAGAGGGGGGTGGGGATAGACATTGAAAAAGACTGTGCAGTAGAGTGGAGGATGTTGGGAGAGAGGAAGGGGTGTATTCTGAAGGTTGAGTAATGACCTGGGTGGATGATTCAGAATGGATAGAGTTGAACACAATCATCAAGGAGGGGGCATTTGTATCAGTCAGAGCCATGGTCAAAGGAGAGGCAGGGGTTGGGAAACCAATGAAATCAACTTTAGATAGGCTAATTGATGAAGGTGAATGCCTTAATGCCCCGAATAAGGGTAAAAAATCATCATGGTGAGCCTGAAATAAATGGGGACAGGAAACGGTCTACTCCTCAGGGTCCCCATGAGAGGTAAGGGCTAGATAATTAACCAAGGTTAATTATACTGCACCCATGGCTCCCTGAGGCAGTTCATGAATGACAGCCTTCCATCCTTTCAGCATGGTTCTCACACATTAGGAAGTGGACAAAAGAAGGGGATGATGAAGAAGAGAAGGAAAGGAAAGGGGGAGAAGAAAAGCCCGAACAAAATTAATTATGGCAAGGTCTGAAGTCCAAGGTATAGGTGATGCCCTACATTAGGCCCCAGTCTCTGTCTCTTAAGCCCCCACCACGACAACAATGAGCAAGGGATTAGGAGGGATCCCAGTTGGTTCTACAGTGGCTTCCTTGCTTTGGTCTTCCTTGGTGTGAGGTAACCTGGCTTAGTTACTACAAGTACTCTGGGTAGCAAATGCTTTGATTGATCACAAATAACTTCTAGATATTATTTGTATAAAATCATCATTGTCTTTAAAGGATATCCATAAACCTTGGAGAAATAGTTCCATTTTATTTAACACTCTTCTATTGGTTACAAATTTTTGTAATATACATGAATATTACTACTGGAACACAATAATTTCCATATGTACAGAAATAAGATTCGTTGTTTGTATGATAACATAAGACTTTATAATTCTTAACCTCAAACTTTTTTTGTAATTTAGACTAGTTAACTTGAAACGGACCAACAGACTAACAGGCTGAACGAGCGAGGACAACATCTAATGACTGGATAACAATACTGACACAACAGGTAATTTGCTCCATGGTTCTGCTGCACTCTCACACTGTTATGAGGTCAGTCAATAATGAAGAGTCCACATTGCAGAATTTTATGGCTTATAAATTATTGATTCTATACATGTAAGATGACTGACCATTCTTCTGATGGCTTCACCAGCAAACTCCTTCTAAACCCAGCTGCCCTCAGAAGATGAATTCTTTGCAGAAGAAGGTGAATTACAAAATTAAAGTACTGTACAATTATGGATATATATATATGTATATATATACACACAAATCAGCAAAGATGCATTGACAACTGAAATGCCTTAGAATAGTATTGCAGGCAAGTTGGATAATCCATGACTTTGTTATTTCACTCTATAAATATAATGAAACATGGAAGGCACTTTTTCTATGCAATGTATGTTTCAATACTGATGGTCATATTGTGCTTTTTGCATTTTTTGTTAAAACTACCTAACCCAACACAGTTACAGCAACAACTGCTGGGGTGTAAATGCAAACTGAAAATGGACTTGTGCACCAATAACAAGACTTTGTAAAGGTGATGTGCTGTTGCACCTGCTAAATTTAACATTAGAGAAGGTTTAAAATTAGAGTAGAGTAATTTTCATTAAAAATCATTAGGAATAATAGCCATGTCTTTTCATGCATAAAATATGAATGTCACTTTACTCTGATAACAAGTTTAAAAATATAAATTATAAGTCAGACAATCTTATATGCACTCACATGGTTTTAGAACCTAGTTATTGTCAATTTACAAACCTCTTTCTATACTCAAAACTAAAATTGAGCATAAGCACAGCACTATTGGGTTCTGCTAACAAACATGCTCAACCATATTTAATTCTTTTTCTAATGAAAAGATATTGTGGATATAGTTTATTTGTCTAATAGCAAAAATAATATTTTTTTTCCAGAAATATTCAACATTAATCCCAGTAGTGAAGGAAACAAACTGACAAACATTTTGCAAGATTACAAACCACTGATTGTTCAAGCTACTCCCTACCCGTTAAAGGTCAACACAAAACAACCATTGGTTACAACAGTAATAAGTTGCGTGGTTAGACAACCATAAGTTCCATAGCTTCACAACGAATGACATTTTGAACTGTTGAAAAGGTGTGAAATACATAACAATAACATTTGTAAATAAAAGGCATGCACAGATGAGTTCACAAAAATGAGAATAATCTGAGAGGCAAACTGGGCCATACAACTTTGTTTAGACATACCTTGGTACTTCCTGTGATGTACATTTCCCACTATAATGCACGTATCATATACTGCTTATGATATCAACAGCAGCAAATGAACCTTAACTCTGTTACACAAGGAAGAACATAAACCTATCCGTACATCCTCCACAAAATATTTATTTGATTTATGCAACTCCAAACAATGAAAAAGCTGTTTTTTTCTATTGTTGCACATAGAACACATAGAATTCACTGTATTGCATCTTAGGAGGAATAAGACATGGATATCTTGGATAGGGAAACATAAACAAGAGAACCCTTTAATAACAACACTGGTCACATAGCTTTGTGGTTATAAATAACATTTGACACATTGCAAAGACCACACATTTTAAAAAGCATCCATAATAGGTGTGAAGGAGAAGTACTGTTCAGAGCAATCATGGGCAGTCAGTTTTAGTTCAGTAGCACTTGGTCAAAAAGTTTTAAAAGTGGGAGACGAAAATGGTGGTTTGGCAATAGTTCATAAAAAGTGTCCAAAACCTTGTCAGCCGAAAGTTGCAGCAAGACTGGCTGACAATGCATAAAATCTTTAAGGATTTCACAAAACACGAGCATTCAGTCATGTTCAATACACATGGGCCTTCAGAAGTGATCGACTAAGACAGACACGCAGTTAGCGCCCACGTGTGACGAGTGTGGAGCGTCGGCCAGAGACATGTTGGTCCACTGCGTTGGTTGGCCGGTGGGCGTATCAGAAGACTTCAGAGCAAAACTCCAGGTGTTGGGGGACACGGAGGCAGCGTGAGGGAGTCGCAGCTCAACAGGTCGCTTGAACTGGAGACCGTGAGGGCCGCACATCACCAGAGGACTGAGTAGAGTCTCACCTGCAAAATTTTTAGGGTCAAGGATTATGCTATTGATCTTTTGGAGAAAGATGTGCTTGCAAATGAAGTCTGCATATATTAAAAAAAAATGTATATTTTTGAAATTAAAGCAGGAATATAAACAATGCATGATTTCCTAACATGCTCACAATTCACTCAGCACTAATGATAAAAATATATTTATACACTATAAAAAAGCACTGTCTGGATATTACAAAAGTGTAAAGAAGCATTAGCAAAATTCATATTCTAAATAAAAATATGTATGTTAAACTTTCTACTGAGGAAACCCAAAGCAATGATTACAATTTTAAATCTTTTCAAATTTGTTGAAAAAATCACAGTCAATATTCTGTGATTATCTTTTTATATCAAAGTACCAAAGATGATAAGAAAAACAACTATGGAGTGATCGAATGCTTAGAAAACTTCAGTTTGAAAATGCAAATAATAACATGATGAGTGTATTACTATACTCCATGTCTATATGAAGAAAAAATATCAAATAATGTAAATTATTTCTGATAAATACCTAAACTTTATTCATAAATGTGTAAAAAGACCTATTCCAATATTCCACTTCAACAGCCATGAGACAATACAAATTTTACATGACTAGACTTGAACACATTACATTATTTATACTTGATTTTATTAAAGGAAGAAACTAAATAAAACACAAGTGAAAATATACACAAGGTAAGTTTCAGAATTTACTTCACACAAAATCGTCTTCTGACAATAGATATTTAAATAATGATGTAGCTGACATCAGGGAAATCAACTTGTATTTTATGGTGAGAAGACTTTACGCAAATATATACATGATGTAATATTAATCCTTTCAGTTCCAGCTATGGTCTTAATGTCTACTTTTGAAAAGTACCATCTGGTGAATAAATAAACTCGAGCTCTCTTTATAAACTTTTTCTTTGTGATTTTAATGAAGTAGATTTCATAATTGCTGTATCTCAATGAAACCTGCTCTATAACCTGAATTGAAGAGTTACTGTCAATGCATCCTATTTGTCATTATTCTAAATTAACTAAATCTATAATACACAGGTGCCTATTTCATAGATATTGCAGGCTGATATAGAAAAGTTATGATGAGAATGAACAAATTCATAATGCAAAAGATGTAATGGGCACATATCAGTGTTACAGCTCCACCAGAAATACATGTAATTCTGAAGAAGTTTTTACAATTAAATGCGTTAGTTACATCTTATGAACTGTGAAATTATTCACATTGAATTCTATTGAGATGATAACACAGAAACACTATACATTGCTATTATGTAAAGATACAGAATTGCCATTCTATGTTCTTATATTGTATATATCACAAGAGATATCTTGGTTCTACTAAAGAACTCAACATTCATTAGCTCAAATTATAAATGCTCATATTTTCTTCCTCTTTTTAAGTGCCCATCCTAAGTTTTAGATTTACCATACAAGCCTAAGAACCTCAATTACCACAACTCCCATTAACCCAATGCTAGCAGGGAAAGCAAGTAGATACATGCCATGTCCACTGTGAATTTTCTGTACTGATGGCTCTACAAATACTTAGTCATCAATTAGTCAATTGCTGATACTACCTTATCTCATCTGCTTTTTTTATTCTACTTGATTTTTTAGAATTTTCTTTGATCTTATCCTGCTACAGTAATGTAAATATCATAATAATTATGATGTCCATAATAACCATTAATAAGTATCAATATTAATAACATTAGTAAAGAAAGAAAGAAAGAAAAAAAAAAAATCCTGAAAATTCAGGGCAAGGTGAAATCAGGTCAGATCATGAGGTGAGCCAAGCACCTGTGGAGCCATCTACATGTACAAAATAATATTACAGTGAACACTACATTTTCCCCGCAGTGTTGGGTTACCCAGTGCCACAGGGAAAATGTAATGTTCACTGTAGTATGGTTTTGGCTAAACATGTCATTTGCCACCTTGGAGTCAGTTAGCAGACCTTGTGTCCTCACTTGATTTCATCTTTCCTTGAGATTTCAGGAAAAATGTTTTTTGTACTAACAATATCAATATCAATGCTGTTATTATCATATAATAAATTATAGTTATTATAAAGTTACTGATATTACTAAAAGTAATGTAAGATAAAATAAAGTACTTTTAAAAATCAAGGAAAAAGGTAAATAGGTGAGAAAGGTAGCACTAGTAACTGGATGAATAAGTGCTTGTAGAACCATCTAAGTACACAGACTATGAGTAAATTAATTTAACAGTTGGTATGTTTGTATATACCATACTCAGAGGCATCAAGCTTAAAGAAGAATAAGAAGAAGAAAGAAAGAAAAAAAGTCTAACCTAGCCTAACAGTCTAGATATGTTCTAATCATCTCAATATACCATTTCCATGACTGTCTCACTGAAAGGATTAAAATATCTTTGACTTATTTTCTATTATTCACTATACAGTGCAACAGTGCAAAGTGAAGTATTCTGAACTTATAAAACTCAAATTAAGTAAATTTACAATAACTTATAAACCAAGACATTGCACTGTTTAATGAGCTGACTCAAAAGACCCCCTCCACCACCACCACCACCACCACCATCACACGCACACAGATAATAGACTGACGTGTATATTCACACAAAGAAATGACAAATAAGTG